ACGGCGGCGCGGGCGCCGGGGACGGCGGGGGCGGCGGCCCCTTCTTCGGCCTGCACGCCAACCCCGGCCCCAAGGCGGCCCAGGCGCGCTACACATCGCCCAAGGGCAACAAGTACGTGGTCTTCTACCTGGACCTCTCCTTCATCTTCCTCCTAGAGCTGAAGCGCTGCAGCATGGCGCGCGGCTGCCTCCAGGGCGTCAAGTACCTCATGTTCGCCTTCAACCTGCTCTTCTGGGTGAGTGGCGGCGGGGACCGGGGCTGCTGCTCCGGCCCGGCGTTGGGGGGCCCGGGGAGGACCTAGAGTCGCTGCGCCGGCTGGGATGGGGGGCAAGACACCCAGGAGGTACAGCGGGGTGGGCGGGCGGTGTGTGCCCGGGGTCGCTGCTCTGGCTGGGGGCCAGGGCTGGGCCGGCCATGGGGAGTGTTTCCGGTACCGCGGGGGTCCGGCCGGGCCTCTGCACTCTGGGCGCTCTCCCCTCTCCGGTCCCTTCCTGAGACCCGACGTGTCCAGCACCTGCGCGCCCCACAGGGCGGCCGGGCACTGCGCCTCACCTGCGCCGCGGTTCCAGTCCCGGCCGAGGCCAGCAGTGCGCCGGGACGCCGGTGCCTCTGTTCCGTTGCCTCCCCTCCGCTCCCTCTGTGCAGTCTGCTCCTTTCTCTCCCCCCACCATCGGACTGACCCACAGGCTCCAGGGACCCCAGTTCCCAAGAGGCTGCAGGGGCTAGCTGATCCCCAGTCGCCCAGGCACTGGGGGAAGGGAAAGGAGGGTATGTGTACAGAAGAGCGCTCTGGCTGGGGCCACACACTGAGCAGGACTGCAGGCCACCACGAGTGCTGGGGAGATGTCTGGCTTTCCTGCTTCCCACATGAGTGGGGGGCTTCCATAACTTTTGCTGAGCTGGTTTGGGTTTGCTCAGACAGGAAGTACCCATGTCTAGGGTCAGAGGTGTTGGTGCTACAGGGTGCCTCCTTCCCCCCAAGATGAGGGACAGAGTTGCCACTCAGCACCTGCAGGGAGCATGTGGGCTGAGGCTGTGGGAGGTGTCACACCTGCCCAGGTTGGAGCAAGCCTGGTCAGGCCTGGGGCTCCACTGGCTGGGCTGGGGGAGGCTAGGTGGAGAGATGATGCCAAGGTCACTTCCTGCTCAGTGTTAATTCCTGAGCCAGCCATCCCACAACTGGGAGTAGGGGGCGCGGCTTTAGCTCCCACCTGGGCTCCAGAGAGGCTTCATTTGCATTTCATTTGCATTAATTTACATGTGGTCCAGTTAAAGCCAAATGCCTGGAAACCCAGGTCCACTTTTTACACATCCCTTCCATCCTGGGCCCTGGCTCTTTTCTCCCGAGCTTGGTGGGGAGAGTTGGGGGTCACTGGGAAGGGTGGCTAGCCTGAGTTGCCTGTGGGGTGTGACTCAAGGAGGCTTCTGCCCCAGATGTCTGGTTCCAGAGGGGGTCACCCCAAGGGTTTGTTCTCTGCATGGGGCTCCTGGGAGGGGTGAGGCCCAGGCCCAGAGCAGAGATGGGGCAGCTGGAGCTCCACCTCGGCATGTGAAGGCGGCGTTGACCAGCTGCAGTGGGCACCAGCGTGGTGAGCACTGAGCAGCTGGCAGGGTCAGCAGGCCCCAGGAAGCATGACGAGAGGCGGCTGCAGGTGACGGCGTGACCAGAACTGGCAGCTGTAGGTGTTGTCTTGACGGTAGTGGGCAATGTAGGTGGCAGATTGACGGAGGGCAGTGGGGGTGAGGGTGGTCAGGTCCCAGGAGGTGGGCAGGACCTCCTTCTCCCCTCACCTGCCCTCCTCAGTGACCTGGTCACCTGCCTGCAGGGAGGGGGGGGGACCCTCCTGCCGGCCTGTACTCTGAGAGCAGCCCACCCTGTGTGTCCCCATGTGGAGCTGTCTTTGCCTTGTCAACCCCTCAGGAGCCTCCCTGCCAGCTGCAGGCAGACACGCTCCGCCAGTCCCTGGTGGATGGTGTGCTCAACCCGGAAAAGAACAAAGCAGGAACCCCCTTGGGACCCCTTCCTGGGCTGGAAAATCCAATTCCCCTTTATTATCCAATTACATCTCCTAGCCTAGCAAACTGGGCCCCTGCTGCTGGCCTCGGCCCCTCCCTGCCCCAGCCTGGTGCCCAGCAGGGGTCCAAGACCTGGGGGTCAGAGAGGGGGCCTGGGCCTGCCCACAGGAAGCACGCAGAGGCGAGGGGTGGTGAGAATGGCCGGGAGGCCAGGCATGACATTCACTCTGCTTTCTCCCTGTGCTGGTGGCAGCTAAGCCCTTCCTGCTGGTGACAGAGGCTGCGGGTGGGCGGGGCGGGGGCTGAGCACCCCTTCCTGGGACACCGGCTCCTTGCTGTCTGGGGCGCTGGCCCCCCACAGGAGTGTTTTCCCTCTCCATTTCCCTCTCGTTGGGAGACCAGAGGACAGAAGCCCTCTGGAGTGTCATGCCTCAGTCTCCCCACTGGAGCTAACTGTAGGGGTCAGGGCTGAGGTGGTGGGAGAGGTGTCCCCGCAGGCTGGACCTCAAGACCCTCGCCCAGTCCTGACCCCACCCTACAGGGCCAGGCTGGGCCACCGTGGAGGGCCCTGGCCAGTGGGGAGATCATTGGTCTCAGCCTGGTGGGGGTAGGAGGAGTTGTGTCTGGCAGGGCAGCCGTGCCCGTCCTGGTGTGGCCCCCAGAGGGGGTGGGTGCTGGGGGCCCTAGGAGTGGGCGGGGCGGGGGAGTCTGGGTGCAGGAGGGCACAGGTGCAGGCAGGGGGTAGGGAGGGGTCCTGAGGGCGCCTGGGAGAGGTTGAGGGGGGGTGGGAATGAGGGTCACACCCATGCACCTGCTCAGAGGTCAAGGTATAGTGACTCCAGCTTCCTCCTGCCCTCATCTTGGCTCTCCTGCTGCCCAGCCCCTGCCCGGCACCCCTTTACTTCAGGATTCACCTCAAAGCCCTGTTCTCCCAGAGGCAGACCCCCGCAAGGCCCTCATGCGGACACCTGGCCCCATACGCACCTGCACACCTGGCTCCATGAGGTCTCTCTTCATGGGCTGAAGCCTGACTCCTCTGGCAATGCCATCCCCTCCCGCCCTAATGTAGGGCTGGACCCCAGCCCTAGGGTGCCCCTGGCTGAGACCACAGTCCCTCACTCGGCCTGGGGAGGCTGCGGGGTCCTACTGGGGGGAGGCGAGTGGGAGGCTGGCTCGGGAGCTAATTGGCTCTGATTTATGACTCTTATTTATGTGGCCTGTTTGGGGGTTTCCTTGGGGACTCCTGGGTGGGGTCTGGGAGGGCAGTGCTGAGTCCTCCAGCCTTGCGTCCTAGTGGGCAGGAAAGTGTCACCCATCTGTCCCGGGGTTGATCTCCCCGAGCCTGTGTGGCCTGGCTGGGTCTCTGGCCTGTCTCGGGGGAGGAAACAGGCCCGTCTGCTGTCACCAGTGCTTGGAGCCGGGTGCCCTGAGGTGGGAGCTGGGAAGGCGAGTCTGTGCAGCTGGGCACAGGGGGAGGAGAGGCACAGGGGGGCTGGCGGTGGGGCCCTCGGAGTTCAGAGCCAACCCACCCCCAGACCCATACCTGCCCTCCCGCGGCAAACAGGGCCCTCACTGGGCAGGGACAGCTATGTTGGGGACGCAGTCTCACTCCTCAGAGGCATGCAGGGGTGGTGGACAGCTTAGGGCCAAGGTCCCTGAGACAGGGCGGGGGGTGTCTCCTGGGAGCCCATTGATGGAGAGGGCCATGTGCAGCCCCGGGAGCTGGTGGGGTGTACCATATGAGATGCCCACACTGGGTGAGGGGGTGGGGGCTGTGCAGCCCCTGGGGGGGTGGGGGTCCTGGGGTGGGGGGAGAGGATGGAGGCGCTCTCCCTGCCCCTCCCCCGCTCTGGGTGAGGGTCTCAGGGCTCCCCCCAGGGCAGTTGCTGTGGCCCTGGGGCAGTCTGGGTGGTCCTGGGTGGTCCTGGACGTGGACCTGGGTTGAGGCAGGGCTGAGCTCAGCACGGTGTGGGCGCTTCTGTGGCTCCGCCATGGCCGGGTGCCACAACTGGGACTCAGCCTCACCGGCCCAAGTCCTCCCAGATTTGGATCAGCGGAGCCGAGGGCCCCTCATCCCGCTGCTCCCTGGAGGCATCCCTCCTGGTCCCCACTTCCTCCGTCCGGGCTGCTCCCTGCTCTGCCCACCCCCTGCACCTGTGCTCAGGGCCCATCTGCGTGGCTGGGGCGGGGTCGAGCTCTGCCTGCCAGCCTACTTCCTGCTGCCCAGGCCACCGTGGGACCCAGGGCAGGTCCTGCCCTCCTTGGGGCCTCAGTTTCTGTACGTGGGGGCCCTGGGTTCTCCCCTTTGATGAGGGGTAGACGACGCCCGGCTGGCCCTTGGGCAGGGCACCCCGAGACTAGTGGAGGAGGGACCCACGGGTGGCAAAGGGCTCTGCAGAGTTGCGGGCCCCCACCTCGCCCTGGTCTTCCCTGCAGTTGGGGAAACTGAGGCACGCCACAGGCACCCTGCCCAAGGTCACAGGGCAGGGCCAGCGAGCCTCTCAGACCTCAGACCTCGTGGCTCCTCCTGGTGGTGCTGGGGGTGTCCCTGTGTTCTGGTTCCAGTTTCTTCCTGCGATGGGGTGGGGCAGGGCAGGGGGGTCCTGCTGCTTGGGGGCCACAAGCGGGGTGGGTGGGCGGTGGGTAGGGGCAGCCTCGAGATGGGCAGAGGGAGGTTGGGGGGATTCTGTGGTGGGACCGGGTCTGGAGGGTGCCTGGGAGCAGGTGCTCGTGTCCCCACGGTGGGGGGTTGCCTGGCAGTCCCAGTCAGGTCAGGTCAGGATGCCGCAGGAGGCTGTCCTGCACGAACTCTCGTCCTTTGGCCAGGGGCTGGCTGACTGGGCAGACGGAGACGCTGGGGCCTGGGGACGCTGATCTGCTCTGTGGTGGCAGCGCTGGGTCTCCAGGTCCCCACCTGGGTCCCTGCCCACTGTGCCCAGCTGCCCAGGCAGAGCCCTCCCCACTGTGGTGGGGATGGTGGGCAGCTGTGCCAGACAGTAACAATCCATTTTGGGATAAAGGCTCTGACGCTGGGACCCAGTCGTGTGTGCCCGTCAGGAGTTCGTGGCTCTCCCCATGGGCTGGGGGTGGCAGCTGCTGGTCAGAGGGCCCTGCCTGCCCAGCTGTGGGCTCCAGGCGGCTCTGGCGCTATCCTGGGTGGCTGTGTCAGGCCTGTCCGCCCAGTGACACAGACGGGCTCCAGAGGGCCTCTGTGAGGGT